CAAGCGATCGAACCTAGTGGCAGCTATTTTTGGACAGTCGGAAAGGGATTTAGACCAGGAAAACACCTCGCCACAGGAGGGCGAAAAAGGCTTTCTGTTAAACAAGCGCGTGACAAAGAGCTCCGTGGCGCTCTGGGCTTCTCCGATCTTAGGATACGGAGACCAAAAAGTTGGAGACGCGGGGCAAGCAGAACAGAGCTGCGGAGGCGGTGTGACGTAGATGTGATGGACAGCTATATAAGGTAGAGTTCAGAGCCACTGGGTGAGTTCTGGAGAAAGTGTGAGAACCTCGTTCTCATGCACAAAACGTGCGCCAGGACTGTGCAGCGACGAGCAGGGCTCGTGTGGCAAGTAGTGTGTTAAAGCGCCTTTGAGGACACTTTGTTCCACATGTGATTGCGGTCATGTGGGAGTGGTGCTGTGTGCGTGCTCTGAGGTGAGGAGTGGTTAAGATTTACGACTCGCACCGATCATCAATCGGTTAAGATCGCTCCTGTGATCATGGCAAGTCCTTGGTTAAGGCGCCTGTAAGGACTTTGTGTCCAAGTGTGACATCCGGTCACGGAAGCTTGGCTTCGTGCGCGCTTCAAACTTAGAAGTAGCGAGTTCCACAAATTAAACCCATCTCAATGGATTTGAATCGCTCCCACGATTAGGGGTCGGTCTATCAGAGCTAGTGAGTAAAGTGCAGATAATTCAACTGTACATATTTGTTTTACTTGTAAATTAAAAAAAAAAAAAAACTATATATGAAAGCTCGTGTCTGTGCTCGATATGCGTATCAATGACGTCACACTTCGGTCGTCTTATTCCGTAAGGAACTGAAATTGCGTGATGCGATCGCTACGCTACGTTTCAATTTTCTCATATTCCTTCTGTAACGCTATTTATACGTTGCATTGTATCTGGTAATCCTATAGATGCATTTGTTAATACACGGTCCTTTTTTCGCAGATAATCCGAACATTTACAATGGAAGATAATCCGGAACGCAGATAATCCGAACAAACCACACCCTCAATTAATATCACATATGGGTACTTGGGAAATCCGGAGTTTGATAACATTGCAGATTAAAAATCACAAATACATTCCTCTTTTTGAGATTTAAAGTGGGCCTGGTGATCGTTGGTGGGGGTAACAACCTTGATGTGTATACGGAATTAAAATACGATATGTTTAAAACGACCAATTCATTGAAATAATGGGCTATCTGTAGACGGTAGTAATGGGCTATCTCTAGGTAATACTGTAGAAGGCGAGTTCCGTAACAATCACGGGTAATTTGCAATAGTTGGCATCTCTGCATTGTACATATTACACTGATAATTGCTAACGCGATGTTAAGGTTAGAATACAACGAATATTTGACGCTAAATCAGAGTTTGGAATGAAAAATGCCATTGTTGTAATATTTACACTTTCGGTGAGGTAACAGCGTAGAGGACCTTTATAACCAAGTTCATGGGTTCGAAGAGCGAAATGCTTCGTACGCCTTCCGAGAACAAGCAAAGCCGGCTGTCCTATATTGTCCCCGCAAGGGGAACCGCCGGCCGTGGAGGCCGAAGTATGGAGACGGAAAACGTCTACTCGAACCTAGTTTCGCGGCGGCACTCACGGCGTTTGTACGCGTGAAACTGGATGCAGTCAGTAGAAGGTGCTAAGCTCCTGGTCTCTCGGGCCTCTTCGGGCGACCCACGAGGTAAGCCTCTGCCCGCTGACAATGTGGCAAGATTTGGGATGGGCCTGCCAACAGAACGCCTTAGAAAAAAAAAACTACTGATTGCCTCTTTCCAGCGATGTTCACGTTGCAGTGAGAAGATCAAGGTGCCCGTCTAAGGCCCTGGTCTCGTTAACACGCAAGAGGGACCGCCACAAGAGCAAAAGCTTAGGTTAAGACTACGTCCCTATGGATAATGGCTACGCCCGCCTGAATTGAGTATCCCGGTGCCACCCTCGCCGTATCTTCGGAAGCGCGTAACTTCCCTGAAGAGGATGGGTATAAGGAGGGGCCGGCCAACTCCTGGTGCACATTGACATTTTCACTCGTCCTCCGTAATCCAAGCCAACACGTCGGCAGTGTTAGCTTCCAATCGGACGACTTTTGAGGGAAGGCGCTGGCGGAATTTACGAGGGTATAGTGTTCGCCCGCCTTGACAATCAGTTTATGTTAGACATGAAGCCTACGACAGAAATTGAATTGGTGTCGGACACGACTGTCGGAGACGCAACTCAAAAGATTAACACGTTGGGAAGTGACTAACCACCTAGGCGGTACACAAGTAGTGAGCATGCAGTAAACCGCACAGAGCTACCGGCCTAAGGCAAGGTGTTTGACTTCAGGCCATTGGCCTAGGTGGGGAATGACCTCGTTCCAACCTAATCGTGAGAGGAGAGCCGCAACGCCTTCGGCGTAAACTAAGCACGGCCGGCACTCCGCTTCGGTGCTAATCAACCCTACAGGCGAGTGAATGGCTTGCTGACCATAGAGGGCAGCCCTTGGCCTCTTGACCCAATCGAGTTATCCTGTTCACGGCGGTATTCACGTCGTCAGTGCAGTGAGAAGACGGGATGGAGGCCTCGATCAGCTATCTTAGTCCGGGTCGCCCACAGTTCGGCTTTGTCGAGGCTCTGTCCAAACCCATGGGTAACTCAGTAGGACTATCTCCAGACGCATTGAGTAGCGCTTTATTCGACACCCGTGCTCGTCTCGACAACTAGAATCCCCAATGCAGGCAGGGTGGCCCTACCCAAGCTTATTTGGGAAGACGCTCCTCTGGGGAATAACTACAAAAGGCATATTAAAGTACCAATTTTATCTAAACAATCGCCGTGACACATCGATAATTATTTTCTTTCGCAATGGTTCAGCCTTACGTCGAATGCCTGTTTTTTTTAAGTGGCCAGCTGCGTACCTTCATTTATCAGTATCATTCATGCATTTCGATTTCCCTGTTTGTTTGTTTTTCCTTTTTTATTATTAGAAACAGGTCACCTACAGTTAAGATATTTCTCCGGCCGTCGCCTGATCGGAGAAACCATGCAAAAGAATCACATCAGCCAGCTGCTCGGTCAATCCAGGCAAAAAAGTAGATTTTATGGCATGACACCTTCAAACTTAAAAATATTTTGGGACATCGTTGTTCATGATGTCTACATCGTCGTGATACAATATTGAAATTGATTGTTCGGCAACAGTGTATTCTTAAAACCTACGACTACTTGTGAACATCGCTATATTCTTTAATTTTTCCTCTCTTATACACTTTTCTACAATTTCTAAAAGAAATGAGAGAATATATAAGTATGCGTATCTCCAGTATATTCGTCATTAAATTTCGTGCTAGGACAGTGGTTTTGAGAAGTATCCGCCACATGCACACAATCGCAAAAGTCAACAGGTCATGGACCGTTGAACGTTTAGTTTCAACGACAAAAAAGAGTTGCCCGTATCTCACAAACTAGGCAACACATTTCAATTCTGAAGGCAATATCTACGTTCAGAAGCAGTACAACAAAAAAACCTTTATGCATTTACATCATAATAGAGATTTTGAAGCTAAAGCTGACTGGCATTTCTTTGCTACGAGTAATGGTAAGGGTCCCTGTGATGGCGTGGGAGGATCTGTGAAGAGACATGCTGCTTATTGCTATTGCTGCTTGCTGCTATAACGAATGATTTGTCAGCCTTCAGGGAACTCAAATCAATACCACTAGAGAATTTTATGAATGGGCACAAAAGAGTGTCACTGGAATTTTCTTTTCGTACAATACCGAAGAAGAACATTAAGTTACTTGCTGTTAAATAGCGAAAGATTTGTGGGGCTGAAAAGACTAGCGATTACACCGAACATCCATTGTGTCATTCCAATCAGTGAAAACTAACTTTAAGTGAAACGTGGATCAAATTCAACAAATGCGTAAGGAAGTTGTTCATCAAAAGGCACCTATGACAGACAAGTCCATCAGCGGCCACACGAGCAGAGCCGCTATAACAACATGAAAGTTTGCGGCGAGTTGCACACTGCCCCTTCCAGCTCAGGTGGGTATTTTTAATTATGGCTATTGTTCCCTTTAAAATAGCAAGACATTTTAATGTCTTCTAGAACGTCCTGAATGCAGTATCATTGCAGTTTTCAGACATTTAAAAAGGTTGTGTTTCGAGTAATTGTTCATTAAAAAAGGTTTATTGTTGAACGCTAAGAAGAGCACGACATAAAATTAATAATGAATAATTGTACTACGTATCTTATATATACTCATAAATTTCTAGAATTTGTAGAGACGTTTATAAGAGAACACCAAAATTAAAGAATGTAGGTGTGATCACAACTTGTCTTAGGTTATAAGAGTGCATTGTTGATGAAACATTAGAAAATTTTAATATTGTATGCCGTCGGTACTCGAAATCTAAGAACTCCGGTCAGAGACACTGTAGAGGCAATAGCTGTAGTTCTGAGCTATCTCAGCCGGTAATTGCTGTTTGGATTCCAGAATATTTCAACTTGCGCACCCAACAGGCGCGAATTGGGTCAAATGTTTTAACACTAGCCTATGTCATGTCCGCAGTAAGACAGATAAATGTTTTACGTACGAGGCGACGGTTTTAAAATTTTCAATTTTTTTTTGTTTCAATTTGATATGACTTGCATATTTACAACACAAATGTACTTCACTTTCGCAGTCTATAGTCCTAACCATTTTCAATATATCATCATAAGAATGAATATGCAGTGAATTTCGTGTTTCTGCGACAAGTTACAGAATTTCGCCATTACTATATTAAAATTAGAAATAGGTGACATAAATATCAGACAGGCATTTTGCAGTCAACATGTTATTATGTAACTCTGAAAAATGTTATTTTACTTAAACCCCCTAGAATGTTTCAGTTCCCTCTTCTGTGTATTATGTAACTCCCGAATCGAAAAATTACAAGCAAGCAGATAACTTTAAGTGCATGAAAAATTAAATAACTAAACAACCGTAATTCAAAGTACCTTTCCATTCTCATACCAAAGTAAGGCATGATTCCGAGATAGGACCTTGCAGTCAAAAATTGCGTTATTCTGGGACGCTCGAGCACGTGCAACTGATCGTCCAATCTTCACGGGCTGATCTAGGGTTAGAGTACGCTCCTAGAACAAAAGATAAACATGATAAATAGAAAAAAAATGACATTACATCTACATACAGGGGTCCCTGGAAGAAACAATATTTTGGAGTCAGAGTATCATTCTGAACAAAACGTTTACAAGAACATATGTTGTATACGGCAGGTTTTCCGAGATAGAGCTAGTTGTGGAATATTGTGTATGTCTTAATTTTGATGTCTCCCAGAAAACAGTCACCGTCTGTAATATTGTTATTTTTTTCAATTGTCATGGGCGGTGCAATTTACATCCTATAACATTTTCGAAAATTACACCAACATCAGTGCACTTAACACGACATGGCGTGTTGTTTGAAAAAGTACCTTTCAATAGGTTGAAGTCTTATCCAGCATCTATTTTTTATTTCTTTTTAACGTTTTTTGCGTACAGGTCAACTTGGACCACGCATGCATCCTGCACAGCAGGTGCAAGTACTTTTTTTTGGGGGGGGGGGGATCAGAATTTTATCTGAACCCCGATTTGTAATCTCTCAGGTTGTTAGCCCCGGGGGTATGAATGATATAATGATGATGATGATGATGATGATGATGGATGAAAGGACGGCACACACAGAAATACACAAATAAACCCATGCCTCAGGCGGGACTCGAACCCGCGGTCTTCTTGCCAGATCGCTTCGGCACTGCTGCATGATAGTTTACTGTAGTCGATTAAAAGCATTCGGGCGGGTAGGTACACAGTTGATTACCCAATATAATAATGAGCGACAGTACTGGAAAAAGGTGTTGAAAAAAGTTACTGCAGTTAAATTCTTAGAATCGAGAGACTCCCTTGGTAAGGTTCTGACCAAAAAGTTGGTTCAGTAAAAAATGGAAATTTTTAGGTTATTTTGGAACCATTCTTACACGAACACATGAAATATGGTAAAGCAGGGAAGATGTCATCACACTTGTCGGCCACCATTTGTGAAGAGTTTGTAGAAACAATGGAGAATATAGTTCTTTCAGTAATAATTTCGGAAATTGAAAGAGCAAAATACTAAGCTATTTCTGCAGATTCGACTCCGGATGTGACTCATATTGATCAACTTACTTTTAAAGTAAGATATGTGATAGATGCAGTTCCAAAAGAGCGATTTTTGCAGTTTATTGCCATGCATGGCCATAACAGCAGAACATCTTACTGCAGTATAACACAGTTCATAAAAACCAATAACATAGATATTCTGAATTTTAGGGGTCAGTCTTATGACAATGCAGTAAACATGTCAGGACCATGTTCAGGGTTACAAAGCGAAGATAAAACAACTAAATAAGTGTCCTGAGCATGTACCATGTACTGGACAGTCACCCAATTTAGTAGGCGTACATGCGGTCATGTGTGTTTTGGCTGTGACAATTTACTTTGATATGGTACAAAATCCTTCCACATTTGTATCAACACACCGCTGGGAGATACTTTGTTCATATGTAGATCCTCAACATAAAGTGACGAAACAACTCTCAGGTACTAGATGGTCTGCGCAGGCAGATGCATTAAAATGCTTTATGTGAAGAGTATAATGAAATCACATCATGTCGTCAATCTATAAGAAATCATGTGACAAATCAATCGTCAGAGACACGTTTTTAAGGCTGAAGGATTAGAGAAAAAAAAACTTGATAAACTTGAAAATGTTTTTTAAACAATATGGAGGAATGAAATCCTCAGTAAATTTAACGTAGCATGTGTAACTACTGCAAACTGAAAATGTAAATTTGTCTGAAGCAGTTAAGATGCTCAAGTCATTAACTGTATTTATTAGGGAGAAGAGATATTTTGACGACTAAGAGTCCAAATCATAGAGGAAAAAACACTTCTGGGAAGAAAAACGTTCAGAGACATCCTACCAATAATAGACACATTGGTTTCTTGTCTAGAACTCCGAAGTAAAGCATACGCAGATATTGTTGATAGATTGTTTTTAGTTTCTTGTTGTTTTTTGAAAGTCTGCACGAGTTAGAGAAATCAGAAATTTCAAAATATTGCAAAAATCTTGCCAATTGTATAGTGAAGATTTGATTACTGCAGATATAATATCTGAATGTCACCATTTTGCTGCATATCTAAAAGCAAATATAAAATATTGCAAAGAATACACTGGATATAATGAAACAATATCAATATTCAAAACTTATACAGTGATATGAATAATGAGAATATTTCATAAGCATTCCCCAATGAAAATTGCTACGAGAATTTCCCTCCCTTTATTTGTGATCGATGCATAACAAATTCCAGAGCGCCAATGAAGTACGACCTGTGCTTTTACGCTCCACATTCGGCTGATCTCGATTTCCAAACTCTTCTATTTAAGACGTCTCTGCCTACTTGGTTAAGTTTTGATCGCACGGCACAACATCTACAAATACACACGTTTTTTCCTCCAAGTCCCGGATAACGTTATTCAGTTAGTTTGTGGCTATCGTGTGGTTACTTTGAATTTGCTGGACGTACAAAATTGTGAACAGTCCAGTTTTTTTCTCACATTTCATGTTAAATAGCATCAGAAGTTCAGTGTGTTATTGTCATTATTATTGTTGTAATTTTAATTTTTATTGGTATTATTATTATTGGTATTATTACATTCGCCTGGGGCCTCTAGTTTATTGGCTCAGTATTGAGTTCCCTTATTTATTGGTAGTATTGCAGCTATAATTTGCAGAGGTGTATTTATCACTGAATGATGTAGACGTGGGTGGGGGGCGTGAGTGTTTGTGTAGCGGGGCCTCATTTTCGAATTCGACTAAGGCCTCAGAGGTTCTAGAAACGGCCCTGCACGAGAGAGCGAGAGAAAGAGTGAGAAAGAGAAAAGGAGAACGAGCATTTCGTCATACTAATTAGCACAACTAGCAGAAGCAGAATTTATACCGTCATGCGTTTCTGTTCTTGTTGAACTTATAAATACTGAGGAACTCAATTATTTCAGAAGCTCGATTTGTTATTCGCTTTAATTTATTACTCTTCTTTCATAATTATATTTTTATCATGAAGAAAATAGAGGAGGGTATATTGAGGTTTGCTAATTAGCATGACAATATAGACTTTTATTTACGGCAAAACAGTTAAAAACTGTGTGTGACGTGCTATGGGGAGAAGTTAATTTGAAGTTATATTGATGATGCACCACTCATCGATATCAGATACGTCGGCAATCTCGGCTGAGAGGCAATTCAATTTTTAACTGGAAACCATATTTTCCATCAACATACATATTTCAGAACGTTTAAATACAAGTATTAAATGCCACCTATCATGAACACGTCTTAAAAATAGTTTACTCACTACGTTCATAACAATAAAATTTCTGAAATAAAAACCTAATTAAACTCTGCATTTTGTTTAGTTTAATCAGTATGTATCTTCCCTTTATTTAAATTCCCCTCAATCCCTTTCCACTGTTTTTCATTGCTTTGGCCATGGAAACTTTCAATGCAGAATTGAACTATGTATGGGACGGGATTGCCGTCGGAACATGGATCGATTTCTGCAACATTTTATAAGTTTTCTTTGGGTGTGTGCTCGCAGCTTACAAAGTTTTCTCGGTGATTTGTTTTTTAGTTTTATAAATTTATTTTCAGAAATTGAAACAAATACAAATGTGAATAATTATGTATGTCTGCGTTACCGAATATAACTTTTTAATTTCAATTTTGGTAAGAAAAAATATGATGGAAATGTACGTCAATACGTTTTGTTTTTGTTTTTTTTTCTTTTTGAGGCGGGGGAAATGCTTTATGCACCGCCAGGTTTAGAAACCTCGTGTGTGGGACTCCCTAGTTGGTCTACCCACTAACCCCTGCCCCGTTCCAGCCAGAATGTCTAATCAAGGAATCGCAGCTACATGGCATTTCATCTGGCCAGACTGCCTCGGTGATCTCTAGGATCCTTCTAATCCGATCCTCTGAGGGCGTCTTGATTCTTCTTCATAACTCTTTTCACGTAGTTAAGAATTTTTGCCTAGGTTTCCTGTTTCTAGCATTTTTCTACTATGATGTTTGGTGAGATCTCCTTTCCAATAATGGAGTTGGGTATTTCTCTGTCTACTTCAAACTCTTGGCATAAATGACATGTTCTGCGTCATCGTCTGTTCCCACAAGTGGTACACATATTGTCCTCTTTCTATTTGAAGCGGTATAAGTAGCTTCTGAAGCTTGCATGGCCTTTGAATGCTTGTGTCAGATAATAAGCGGTCTCCCAGTGCTTTCGTTCTACCCATTTCTTAATATTGTGTATTAGACTAAAAGTCCATCTTCCTGTCGTTTCTTTTCTCCAACGGCCTTGCCACTTCTGATAGAGCTCCTCGCTTGCGTCACCCTGTCTGGTGGCGGATGTTCTTTCAGAAGGTCGATAGGGGGTGCGCTTGCTAGCACAAGGGCGGCACTTTCTGAATCTGTTCGGTAGGCAGAGATGGTCCTCAGTGCTCCCCTCTCTGTACGGACAGAAGCATTCTCCTATTCTTTCATAGCGCCCGCCCATGCCGAAGCTGCTCGTAATATTTTGGACAGGACTGACCCTGCAACATTCGTCGTTAGTCGTGTTAAATCTCCTCCCGCTTACATTGCCTACCACCTCTATTATCGGCTTCCTAAAGCCCCTTCTCTTGGTGACAAGAACTGCATGTTTTCTCTGTTGCCGTGTCTAATTTCAGTTTATTTAACCATGTTTTTGCTTTATGCAAGCTTTCATTCGCTCGCATCTCAAGGACTTCGCCCCCTGCTGCGACTACAATCAAGAAGTTGTCCTCAAATCTAATATTATTTACTTCCCTTGGGAAAGACATTTTTAACGTCATCGTAAACCAGGTTACATAGCATTGGGCCTAGCTGAGATCCTTGGGAGGGCTCTACACGTTATTTCTTCATTAATTCACCAATTATCTCCTTCATATTAATGCTTCTCTCGCTTAGGCAGTCACCTACAAGATTCTTCAGGTAGACAGGAATATTCCGTCTTTCAAATGCCTCTTTTACATATTCCCAGCCCAAAGAGTCGAATGCGTTCCGAGTGTCTATTGCTATAAGGGCGCAAAAGACTTTCTTCCTGCCGCTACCTTCTCTTGCCGTCTTTGCCAGTTCGACTGATTCCCTGATAGCGTCGACCGTTGATCTGCCTTTACGGAACCCGTACTGGTTATGAGCCAAGCTGCTCTGCTCTATCATGTGCTTCTCCATGCGCTGAAGAATCAAGCCTTCTAGCATTTTGCCCATGGTACCCAGATGGCAGATCGATGAAGGCAGAATGATGATTCACTATCCACCGGCTTATGTCCCTTCCTTAATAGTACAAGGTTTTTGGCAAAGCATGAATATCTAGTACACTCACTGAAGAGTTCCAATAGAAGCTCCGGACACTCTGCGATGATTACTTTCAGGACCTCGTTTGATACCCCGCCCAAACCAGGTGCCTTACCTGCTTTCTATCCAACTACTAGCAGTTCACGGGTCGTGAACATTTCTGCCTCTATCGCTTTGTCTTAACTGTTCCTTTTCTTTTTGGGGCTTTTGGGAAATATGCCTCATTGTTTCTTCGACCCACTTTTTATCATTTAGAACAGATATTCCGCCTCCGATTCAACTTACTAATAACAACTTTGCATGCCCCAAGGATCGTTTTCAACACCTAATATCAGCTTTCTCCAGCACATGTCCTTGCTTCTTATTGCATCGTTCAGTTCCTTCCTCTCCCGCTTGTAAACCCTTTTCAGATGTTCATCCCCCTTTTGCCTTCGTACATCTTCTGGCTGCTACACAATCACTCCTTAAGAGGGTTATGTCCTGGGTCTACCAATATTTGGACCCCAAACATAACTGCTGATTGCCTTTAGGGGTATCGGTAGATTGCAGACCCTCTGGATAACCGTTCGAGCCCCGTCTGTCAAACTATTGTTAGGGGTTGAACTCCCCACCGTAGCTCTTGAATGTGCTTGAATGTCAAGGATCTTTTTACATTCTCCTCGTTGAGTTTCCGAGCATTTCATATCCACTTAGCTTCAAATGTGATTCATTCTTTACAGGTGACTGCGTAATTTATAATATCAATTCGGAGGACGAGGATATTTTGCAGTGAGACAAATTACACATCTGAGCGGAGACAAACGGCATGTAAATAAACAGAGCTAGTCCATCACGTTTGGTAAGGGTCGAAGTTACAATAAATCTGCGTACAAATTGAATAATGTTATACCTCGAGTCACCCCTTGCAAATATTTAGGAATACAGCTCGACAGTAAATTGAGCTGGGAAAATCAAGTCAATTTCGTTATAGGGAAAGCCTGAAAATCTTTACAATTTGTTATGCGGATACTGAAAAAGAGTACAGAGTGAGCCAAAGAACTAGCATATATGTCATTAGTTCACTAGTCCCAATCTTATTCTTCCTATCTTGAGAATCTCATTGGCCTGTGAATTGTGCATCGCGGTAAAAAGCAGTGTAGGGGACCCTCGTCTGCGCAGGGAATTGAGGTCTGCGTAGGGAATTGAGGTCTGCGTAGGGAATTGAGGTCTGCGTAGGGAATTGTGGTCTGCGCATCGGACTGTGCGATAGTGTAGAAGAAGTGTAAGTAAGTGTTCTGTGTAAATAAATAATAAAGAGAACGGAATCGTGTGTAAGGAAAAAATTCAAGTGAAGAACACAAGGACAAGTATTTTAGTGCAGCATTGTTTACGAATAAACAGTTTTTGTTACATATTACCTGAGTGTGTTTTAATTCACCACGGAGAAACGTTACAATATGTAATAATGAATTATTTATTATGCATTATGCATTATTTACCCACACTCTTCACTTCTTCTTCTCATTATTTACCCACACTCTTCACTTCTTCTTCTCATTATTTACCCACACTCTTCACTTCTTCTCATTATTTACCCACACTCTTCACTTCATCTCATTATTTATCCACACTCTTCACTTCATCTCATTATTTATCCACACTCTTCACTTCTTCTCATTATTTACCCACACTCTTCACCTCTTATTATTTATCCACACTCTTCACCTCTTCTCATTATTTATCCACACTCTTCACCTCTTCTCATTTATCCACACTCTTCACCTCTTCTCATTATTTATCCACACTCTTCACTTCTCATTATTTATTAACACTGTTCACTTCTCTTGCATTATCGCACAGTCCGATGCACAGTCCACGGTCCACTGCGCAGACCACAATTCACTGCGCAGACCAGGGTCCCCTGCACTGCTGTTCACCGCGATGCACACTTAACAGCTCAGTGAGAGCGTAGGCTTTACGCCCTGAGGAAGGTCGCAGAATGGCGGCCGAAACGTCGGCACATTTGCCATGGACGCGGCGTCACCCGAACGGCCAATTAAATATTAACAGCGCAGTTTCCGCTTCAGACTACTGCCTACTCACACTGACGGACTGACTGCTTCTCACTGACTCGCGGCTGCTTACTGCCTGACTATTACTGCCAGCGAACGCCGGCAGCGGCCTCGACATCCGGCATTTGCATACATTTCTACGAAACTCCCAAATTGCCAGGAACCATCCAGGGGGGCGCCGGCAGATGACGCAATTCGCGCAGCGAATACCGGCAGGTGATGCAATACATAAGAATGGCAGGTACGTAAGAATAAACAAACTGATTTAAGTAACTTAATGTGAATCGAGAAGAAAATAAATACCTGATGCAAGTAATGCAAAACATTTGTACGTGTAAAATTAAGAATGTGACAGAAAAGTGTGGAACACTCTCCATATGTGAGGGTAACTCTTTGAAGTACTTGTTTTTTCGGAATACTTATTTTTTATTTACCTAAAATCCAGATTTTGGGGGACATAAGTTCATTTTTTTTAAATATGGAATAAGTTCGCATTAAACCTATTGCCGCTTTGTATCGGATGCATCGTATTTTATGGTCTATTTATTTTTATGGAATAATGTTATCAAAAAATTCTGAGTTTTATAAAATGCAATTCAATTAGTGGGGCTACAATAGCATATACTTTCTCGGATTATTTCTAACAAACAATTTTACAATACAATATACACTTATTACAGTTTTCGACAATACAGTGTTCTAAAATGGGACCAGCACCACTTTTTTCGTCCTTTGACACATATGAGGACAAAATTTAACTATATAATTTAGAGCAATTTTTGAGAAAATAATAGTTTAAAAACTGCCTGTATTTCATGCTAGATTAGCTTCAGATTTCCGATGAAGCTTCGCAATAATTTATCTTTACTTAATAAGTGCGTAGTGGACCACAAAGAAAATCAAGGAAAATCCATAAATGTAATAATTAACTCATCAGTATCCCGACCCTTAGACTCTTTGGTGTCATTTTTTGACACCAGGCGGAAATAATGTTTTGTAACACACTGAAAATTATTATGAACTTCTTTTAGTTATGCCATTTATGTACAGTTTTACATGTGTAGTAAATTTTTCAGTTTTTAAAATTTTCTTGTTTTGAACTTGATTTTTATGCATTTGGGTTCAGAAATGCTCCCAAATAAAATGCCCAATGAAAAGATTAAGCTCCATGGCACGAGTGGTCAGAAAAGTTCAGCAACCCGAAATATATGTCAAATGAAATTGAAAATACAGAAATGTAACTTTCACAACAAAATAAAGAGACTATTTAATTTTCTACGTAATTTAACTTCTAAGCTTAGCAATATCAGAATGGTTTCTTTCGCACTGTACCAGAACGCTATAAAGCAGTGATATGCAGTATCGCAGAGTTCAGGAGCTGGCCCTTCAAAGTTGCATTCCACTACTAAGAAATATTTTTCACTTTTAATTATATTATTTAAAAAAAGCAGGGATTTCGCATGGGTGCAGCTAATATGTTATATTCCAGTAACAGGAAGTGCGAGCATGTTTTCTCGTTTGGATTTCTCGAGTTATAGATGCTGTTTTTCGCCTTACTTTGATTTGTCAAACTACAAGGGCCAATTTTTTTTCATGCTCCGACAGATCCTAAAAAAGACATGAGTAAAAAAATGAATGGCTAAACCAAATGTATGTACAAACGTGATTACTTTTCTACATAATCGCTCTGAAAATTTAGGTATTTGCCGTAAATGTGGACTCTTAAGGAAACGAGGGGCAATTTCCTCAGTAGTACTAGCAAAGGTTTTTAGTGACAAATGAGCAATCGCCCCAAGGACACAGCGAAATACTCCTTCACTAGAAGGAGCTGGAAAATTGACTAGTTAAACGGCTCGGTCGGAGGTTGAAAAAACGGCTTACGTATTTCAGCGTAGCTTGTTAAGAGAATTACTAAATTATTGCGTAACACTGAATAAGATTGCTGAAGTAACGACTGTAAGTTGCTTGAACAGAAACTGCTTTTTCACTTACAAAAATAATTTCCAACATTCGGCGAGGGAAATAATAGTCTTAAATATTAAGCATTATCAATCTAAAATATAAAAAGTAATGCAAATACAAATGAAGCATTCAAAGTGGGGTCTGGTGTCTTAAAAAGGTAATTTGTAAATCCAAAACAAGATTTGTACATTTAACTTTAAAAATGTTAGAAGAACTTTAAGAATTTAAACTATCGGCTGTATTATTCTAGGGATTAGTGTCAAAGTAGATATATTATAGTAGTAAATGCAAATTTTATGTTTCTTAATTGTGAGATTTGTTGAAATTTTACGTACAAATATTTCCTTATTCAATTACGTTTTGAATTCGTCGTATATAGTTAATACAGTTGTTACGAGAGAGCGCTATTCTGGATAACTGGTGACCCACACTTTTTTAGGGTTTACAAAAAATCGGGTGGGTCACGTTCTCTTGCCGATAGCTTATGTAGGCTTTACAACCAGTAATGATATTGTGATACCATTGAAGGGCGGACTAGTAAAGGAAAACGTGGAAACTTTCGAGGTGGTGACTGTAGGGAAATGATAATAGCAGAGACACTGTAGAGTAATTACAGGGGCTTTCCTTCGAAAGAAAAATATCGGACGTTACCTGAAAAGGATGCGAGTTCGGGCGGCACATCAGTACAGCCCTTGCAGCCATTTTAGGAGTGCCTATCACATCACCAGCACCTGGATATGACACCACATTCTTTATCCAGCTACCACTCACCACCACCATCTAAAAAAAAAAAAGAAACGCGTGGTTACTGATCTTTCAGGGAGATAAAGAATTCACTGTAAAATATCTTCACAGACGCACTTTCTATGATTGTCATGGTAAATATAACTAGAGTCACTAAAAATCCCATATACTTTTTCGTAATTTCGGCAACGGATACGTAACGTAATATCCTACTAACAATCACTGCAAAAACTATTAACGAAACTAAGCGCCAGAGGTTCGAAAACTATACACAGGTTGAAATTATTTAACAAGAAAAAGTTATAATTAAAATTACTTCTTGGAGTAAAATTGCGTGTTGTTCTGAATTCTTAAAAACATTTAAAAAACAAACGAAACTAATTTACTCACGCTGGGATTGGAAGCAGAGCGCTGAGGGTAAGAATCACGCGCATTGCTTTACTAATACAAATTTGCTTTAACGAAGATATCCCTAACTTCAATATTAAAAATGTAAATGCTGCCGTCTATCACCACCCACATGCCCTTTTTTACATGTTCTTAATTTTTCGGTTTTCTAAATGTTGAACGGAAATATTATTTTAAGGTGATTAAATAACAGTAAAACCTCATCCTAAATGACAATTCTCATTGAAAAATTTGGAGCTGGTTTTAAAAACTGGCGTTCAAGCGCTACTGTAAATTCGAAATTGGACGCTTTTTCACAGAAAATGTTTGAGTTTTCTAAAACCTTATTTGAAATCATTTTAAGTATTTTAACTCACAAATACAAAAGTGTTTACACATTGCTAGAAATGTGCATGTCAACGGCGTAAGTGATTTTTCAAAAAAAAATTACATTTGGGTAATTTTTGAACAAACAAAAATATACACTGAAATTAACTATTCAAGGGAATCGTTTTTCTGTATTTCAGAAAAATCCTCTCTACATATAATACACCAAGGGAAGATGAGGGTTTGTTTGCCAATTTTTAAGAAACTATCGACACAAAATTCAATTCATAAAAACAAAATAGCAGTATTCGCAAAATGTTTAGAGTTGAAGAGTGCTGACAGCACAGTGACAGAGATAGTGGTAGGTTACATGCCTCATTAAGATTTTTTTCAGTTTGTAGAAACCATCGATACAAAATTCTTTAAGTGCACTATGCTAGATAGGGAATTACACCTCATTCCGCCAGTAAGAGATCTAAGATGAATGTTTGCAGATTATGGATAGACTTGGGGCCCGGAGTTCATAGATTTGCATCTTTGTAACTTTGTAACTGTATTCTTTTATAATCTCTATACGAATTACTCATTGTTGCTTCTATTTATATCGTTTTATGTAGCACATAATTGCATATTCTTGCAATTTTTACTTCCTCCCTACGGAATAGAGAGAAAGTTATGTAATGCTGCGGGAAAAAACTGCGAATTTTAGGCAGAAACACACTCTTACTTCTGGGGCAGGGTACCGAAAAAGTGGATAAATACAACTGCCAAATTTAGAAGAAAAAAATCATCGCGTGGTGTAGTCAAAATCCATGTTTGTGGGTCCTTGATTCCGAAAAATCTAATGACGACAAAAGGTCTGTCAGTCCGTCTGTGAACAACGCTAGCAGCTAATCCTCTCAGACGAATTTCTCCACAATTGATATCCCAAAGTAGATCTGGTTGATGTCGCGGCCCCTTTGAATTTAAAACCGATTATTTTAATTTTGAGACGTACTTTCTATGAAGCTCCTGGGATATTTCTCAATTTTAAAAAAAAAATGACTCCGTAAGATATTTATTAAATATTATTGTTGGATCATGTGAAGGACGTTTAAGAGAATTGTGCCGATCAGTTAGTGGAAAATTATGATTTTTCGAAGAATACAAATGTTCATTTTTTCATATTCTTCTACAATTTAAGTATTAAAAATAAGAGTTTTTCTCAGAATGAAATCAGTTCCTTAAAGAGATTTTGAAGTAGAGTAAAGTACAAATGTTTGAAAATTTGAGTACTTTTGCATAATTGTACATAAAAATACAGTTTGCATTCCAGAAGCATAAAATACTCAAGAAACATGTGAATTGTTTATTATTTACAAACGAAATGAATAAATTTGTCAGAAATAAAAAAAAGTCAAATTGTATAAATTGGGCATCTTTTTTTTTTATTTCTGTGTTAATTTTTCCGAACAAATGCATTCATTTCTTTACTAAATAATAAACACTTTACAAGTTACTTGAGTGTTTCTAAGCTTCTTGCCATGCAAATTTTTGTCTGCGTCGTGTCGCGTCTGTAGCGTCACAAACGGAGACAAACGTGGCACTGGGCGGGCATCGCCGGATGTTGAAAAAACGGCGGAGTGATGACGCACTGATACTCCGTGGTCGTAGCGTGGCCAGGGCGGCGGTTGAGAGAAGGCAATGGGGGCGGCGGGAAGCGTCAAAGGGCCTATATAGGGCTAGGAGAACAAAGTCCCAGTCTTCTTGTTCTAGCGGTGTCGGCGACAGGTGATGCGCGTGTCTGTGCGCGTAGGTGCACTAGGGCGAGGGGCCGGCAATTTATTGTCGTAACTTGTTAGACGCGTAGCTGGTCTCGAGGTAGTGCGGTGCTTCACGTAGGGAACATCGGTAGTATGCTGCGGTGTGGTAGCCGTTCGTAAATTATCTCTCCTTGTAGTTGGTCTATTTATTTAGTTTATTGTAAACAGGTTAGTTGTTTAACTGAGACTACGGTCTAGATTGTGAATAAATCTACTGTTTTACAAACCACTCTCGTCTGTGTTCCGATTACATCCGTATGACGCCACCGTATCATATTTCCACCAAATAATTGACTGAAGATAAAATTTTGGGGTCCTAATGGACGACTCGGGCCCTGGTGGAGTATACTGAGGCTCATAGGTATGCACCATTAAATACCAGGAAAAGCCCTCCTGTAATGGGAAACCTTTGTAGAAAGGCTGAGTCATCAAGTCCCTTCCCAAACCACCTCGTGGTGGACCTGAATGCTCTGCGTGGTGAGAACCTACAGAGTAACGAAAAGGGTGGGACGAAAGGCGAGTTTCCGGCGCCTTAAACGAGAACCATGAGCTAAGGGAAGGAAACCCTGACAGAAAACCAAGGGGGGAGGGGGGCCTCCGTAGGTATAGTGGAACCAACCTTCCTAAGGGATGACAACCATGAAAAAAAAAACATCTACCTCCAGGATTAAACATGGGGGTTGGACATCCCGGCTCCATAAAAAAACCTCAGTTCAAAGCGATTTAAATATGCCTCGGACCAGACCAAAATTAAATTTACGACAAAGGCTACGAAAACGGACAATGAAAATTGGAACATGGAATATACAAGGCCTACGAACAAAGCAGAGGGAGGTCATCTCAGAAATTGAAAAAATGAACCTGGACATAATTATACTTACGGAAACGAAGAAAAAAGGGACAGGGGAAGAAATTTTGAATGAATATCTTCATATTTGGAGTGGTGTACCCAAAGATTTTAGAGCTAGAAGTGGAGTCTCTTTCCTTATTAAACGTAAATGGACAAAATTCATTAAACAGATAGAGAATATTAATGAAAGGATACTAAGAATAGACATGAACGTTGTTCGTCATAAGATAACAATTTTAGGGGTATACGCCGTAAATGATAATGCACTTGTAGATGAAAAGAATAAGTTCTTTCAAGACCTCAGCGAAATTATAGCGAGTATTCCATATCAACATGAAATAATATTAATTGGGGATTTTAATAGGAGAGTAGGTAATAGAGAACGTGAAGTAGTAGGTCAATACGATGAGGAAAGTATTAATGGCAATGAACAAAGATTAATCAACCTATGTAAGGAACATGCACTATGTGTAGGGAATACGTTCAGACATAAAAACATCCACAAATATACACGAATAGATCCAGTAAGAAATATACAATCTGTAATTG